GCATTCCCTTGTACAATAAATAATGCAAGACAAGTTATTAAAACATTATTTAACGAGATAATACCTCGCTTTGGTGTACCAGAGGCAATTTCTTCCGACCGAGGCTCACACTTTAGTGCAAAATTCTGACAAGAAATTAGCAAAAATTAGAAATTGATTGGCAACTACATGTTCCATACAGGCCTCAGGCCAGTGGGCAAGTAGAAAAGATGACCCATCTGATTAAACAACAAATTAGTAAAATATGTCAGGAAATGAATTTATATTGGTACCAAGGTTTACCACTGGCTCTATTAAAAATTTGAACTAAACCTCGGTCGAAAGAAAAGGTTAGCCCATTTGAAATTTTGTATGGAAGATCATATTAGTCCCAGTTTAAAGGAGAAAGTCTTCAGGAAGAGGGAGAAGGCTATCTCTGACAGTTTCAGATCCATCCGGGAAAACTATTGGAGGAGATAAATAAGAGAATAGTAGGGACAAGAGCAAGAGGTCTGGATTATCTTTGGATTATCCTTTCAGATCTGGAGACTGGGTTTATGTTAAGAATTTTTCAGGAGATCCTCTACAGAAGTGGAGAGGACCGTACCAGATATTATTGACCACCTTTACGGCAGTGAAGATAAAGGAACAACCTGTTTGGATACATTATTCAAGAATAAAGAAAGCACCAGAGCCAGAGAAGACATGGTGGATCGAACCTTCAAGACACCTACGTATGAAATTGCATCAGTCATTATTTGGACTCATATGATAACTGGCGCACAAGGTTGGGGCCAGAATTTATACCTGAAATTAGTGCAGAATGTTACTGTTTTTAATCGTAGTGACTGTTGGGTGCGTGCACAGTTGCCTAAATCAGGAGAAAGCCTGGATCTCCCATGAATTGGAGTTCCAATTCCTAACACTGTCTCATGGACAGATTTCTCCTGGTTGAGGCAACTGTTTGCAGGAATATTGATGCTAATTATTTTAATATAGATTACTTGTGGTATGATACAATGTTCCCTCTGTTGCTGTAAACGGTCTACGATAAATTATGAAGATTGGAAAAGGAATGAAATTAAGCACCAAGTAGAAATGGGAAATTATTTCAAAAAGACTTTTGATGTTAATGGTAATATATAAAATGTTGTAGAAGAATTTGCAAACGGACAGAAAAAGGGGGTAATTTGAGACAAAGGGCCACAAAATCACAAAATGGAATATAGAAACCTTTATAAGTAGTTTTAAGTAATGTTAAGTTTGATGGCTTTGTAACAGTAGCAATGGAAAATTACTGAGGTGCATGATACATAGGGAAAAAAATACAGATAGAAAACATACTGAGAATTCTGACAAGATAAATCACTATAGTTGACAAAGTTTTAAGAAAAAGTCTAGAAGAACAGGACACAGGGATAAGGAGTATCTGGGAATGGCAGGTGTCTAGGATGGGCTACAGTTAAACTAACTGATAAGTAGGAGGATTATTATGTCTCTGGTGCAAACGAACCAATTAAACTGGTATGAGCATCTACTGCACGTGCTTCAAAGGCTGCCAGAAGTGATGAAGATTGTTGGAAGAAGTAAACGAGCCTCAGAGACCACCACCACCACAATTCTGTATGCATATGGGGAACTTTCGGGAAAATTATGTAATCCATACATAGCCTCATGAATATGTATGTATGTCCAGGGACTATAAAAGGATGGCTTGTGTGGCAATTGGGGGACACACGTTAGGAGGAGCTATCCCCCGTGTCTCCCGGCGCCGCAATAAAGAATACCTGCTTGTCAGCTTGAAAACTTTGTTGGCATGTTTGTTCCTGGAGTTTTCTCCCAGTCAAGACCAAACAAGATTAAAATCCATTATAAATTCTATCTATCAGTGGCTCAGCTTACATAAATTCCTGTTTGTTGGAAGCAGAAGTAATAAAGTTTATGTTCACAGTTTTGGAATTAGAAGTTTTAGTCCAACATCTTGTTTTGCTAAAGCGAAGAATTATTGTCCTGGGTCCACCTGTAAAAAATATTTTTCTTCTTCTTAGTAGCTGGTGCAGTGCTGTGTTTATGACTCGAGTTTGAGAACAATGCTGACACATCAATGTTTTAGTTGTTGATAACTAATGCTTACCCCAGTCAAGGACTTTTCAGTCTCTCATGCTCTGCCAGTGAGGAGGGGCATAAGAAGCCAGGAGGAAGCAGAAACAGGACACCTGATCCAAATTAGCCAAAGGAATATTCCATACCACAGCACATCACGCCCAGTATATAAACTGGGGACAGTCACCGAAAGGCCCAGATCGCTCCTTGGGTGGGGCTGTGTATCGGTCAGCGGGTGGTGAGCAATTGTATTGCGCATCACTTGTGTTTATTGTTTTCTTTTCCTTTTCCCCTTTTATTTTTATATTCTCTTCCCTTGTTATTTCCCTCATTATTTTTATTTTTATTATTATTAGTGGCAGCAGTAGTAGTTTCGTATGGTACCTTAGTTATTGGACTGCTCTTAACTTGTGGGATTTACATTCTTTTGATGCTACTCCCCATCCCTCAGGAGCTGAAGAAGGGGTGGAGTGAGTGAGCAGCTGCATGGTTCTGAGTTACCAGCTGAGCTTAAACCATGACAGTCCTTTGTGGCATGCAGCGTGGGGCACAAAGGGTTAAGATAACAACAGATCTGGCCAGATTGTGTTAAAACATATTTCTGATAAGCATTCAGTGTTTTGGATCAATAGTCACTTATCACACTGTTGATTTATTTGATCTCAGAGTTGATGTGCTTGGTCTCAGAGTTTAAGCATGTCACACCTTACATGCAGCCAGTGTTTGTTGTTTCAGTGCTTATCAGTTTTGGGGCCTGAGCTAAAGTTCTCATTTCGCTGTATTTGATGGTAATGACTTGTAATACAGTAGAATCATTGATCATGAAATTGATCTGGTATGGGTTCTCAGTGTGGTCATCACTTCTATATTTTGGGAGGGATATAATGGGGCCCTGAGCAAAACCAAACCTTTGAACAAATAAAATGAGAAATAGTTCATACAGTAGCCCTTCGACCAATCGAGACCAGGCAAGATATGAAAAAAAGTGCTTTACACTGCAGCCGAGGAGAATGATCCTACCTGGAGCCTTTGGCAGAAAACTCCAGGGGACACTCAAGGTCAACCACTCGGCTTTTGGAGTAGAGAATACAGAGGATCCGAGGCCAGCTATACCCCAACTGAAAAAGAGATACTGGCAGCCTATGAAGGGGACTGAGCTGCTTCAGAAATGTTGGCACTGAAGCAGAGCTCCTCCTTGGCACCCTGGTTGCCCATGCTGAGCTGGATGTTCAAATGCAGGGTCTCCTCTACACATCATGCAACTGATGCTTCATGGAGTAAGTGGGTCGCACTAATTACACAACAAGCTGGAATAGGAAATCCCAGTCATCCAGGAATTCTAGAAGTCATTATGGACTGGCCAGAGGGCAGAGATGTTGGAATGTCACCAGAGGATGAGGTGATGCATGCTGAAGAGGCCCCACCATATAATAAACTGTCAGAAAGTGAAAAGCAATATGCATTGTTCACTGATGGGTCCTGCCTCATTGTGGTAAAGCATCGGAGAGGGAAGGCAGCTGTATGGAGTACCCTATGACAAGTTGCAGAAACTGCTGAAGGAGAGGAGGAATCGAGTCAGTGTGCAGAGGTGAAAGCCATCCAGTTGGCCTTGGACATTGCTGAAAAATGGCCACTACTTTATCTCTATACTGACTCATGGATGGTGGCAAATGCCCTGTGGGGGTGGTTGCAGCAACAGAAGCAGAATGCTGGCAACAAAGAGGTAAACCCGTCTGGGCTGCTGCACTGTGGAACGATATTGCTGCCTGGGTGCAGAATCTGGTGGTGAAGGTAAGCCACATAAGTGCTCATATACCCAAGAGTCGGGCCATTAAGGAACACCAGAATAACCAACAGGAGGATCAGGCTGCTAAGATTGAAGTGTCTCAGATGGATTTAGATTGGCAGCAACAGGGAGAATTATTTTTAGCCCCATGGGTCCATGACACCTCAGGCCATCAAGGCAGAGATGCAACATATAGATGGGCTCGTGATGGAGGGGTGGACTTAACAATGGACCCTATTGTCCAGGACGATGGCTGAAGTACAAATAGAGGGAGGCCTGGCAGACTGACTATATCACACTCCCACCAACCTGCCAAGGCAAGCGCCATATGCTTACCATTGTGGAAGCAACCACCAGATGGCTGAAAACATATGCTGTGCCCCACCCCACTGCCCAGAACATTATCCTGGGCCTTGAGAAACAAGTCTTGTGGTGACATGGCACCCCGGAGAGAATTCAATCAGACGATGGGACTCGTTATTTCCCTTATCAGTATCATTATTAGTAGTAGGAGTAGTGGGTTTGTATTATACCTTAGTTACTGGACTGTTCTTATCTCAACCTGTGGGAGTTACATTCTTTCGATTCTTCTCCCCATCCCTCCAGGAGTGGCAGGGGAAGGAAGAGGGTTGGGAGTGAGCAAGCAGCTGCGTGGTTCTGAGTTACCGGCTGGACATAAACCACGACAATTATTCAGCATGTTTAAGGAGCAGATTTATAGGGACGATAGTGTATTTTTCATGAAGTTTCCCTGTATGGAAACACTGTTTAAATACACACCCACACACCCCCCCAAAAGAAAGCAGGGCAATTTTTGTAATGCCTTAGGCAACTTTAAGATTAGAGTATTAGCTATTATTATTGTTTGTATTAATGGAGAAGGCATTTAAAATGTCAGTGTATAAAAACAGAATAAAACTATGTCAGCAATCTGTGAAAACACCGTAAAAGCATGAATAGCTCATCTAGCAGTACAAGTCTTTGACCTAGTTGTCAGTGCACAGAAAATGTCCAGTAGAAAGACAGACAACAAACTGAAACAAAAATGCTTATATTTGAACAGAAGAGAAAATATTGCCATGGTACTGAGCTTATTACTGTTTGTTTGATTTTAAAGAACCAGAAACTGTACCTGAAATGGTAGCTTCCTCCTTTTTGGCCAAATCCACTTCCAGGTACAACACATATTCCAGTCTCTTCCAGAAGTTTCATGCAATAGAACATATCAGGTGCCATTTTATGAACCTAAGGGAATGAATGCTTTTGAACTATTGAAGTCAAAATATTCCAAATACATAGAATTTTATTACTGTTTTTCTTCCTGAATCCTTATCTTACAATATTACTTTCTTATTCTGCTTACTAAAGTGAATGAAGAGCAGTTGCTAGTAGGACAGCTCACACTGTGAATTAAATAAGAATATCTCATGGAGGAACAAGACTGAAGAACCTAAACAAAACACTCTCTTCAAAAGAAAGGTTTTAGATGTTCTTGGTTTTCCCCTTAACTTGCTTGTAGCTTTTTGTCAAATGTCTCAAAATTGAACTTATATAAATCTAAGCAACTGACATTTGACAAGATGAAATTAATTTGAGAGCTGTATTCCACTTACTATTTTTTCCCACGAATTATCTACTGACTAAAAGTCCCCTGATTAATAACTATGTAAGTTCTTAAATAGATGCAGGTTATATGCCTAATCAAATAATCAGCTGAAAACTAGCCCTATTTATCCTCAGCTAAGCTGATAAATTTCCCTTTAAAAAATATTAGATGTTAGGGAATACAGCTCTAGTTAGGATCAAAAAGACTTGTAATTCAGTAACATAGCTTACTGGCCCAAATACATAAAGGTAAAATTTGTAAGAAAGTTTCCCTCCCTCTTTCCTACACTTCCAGAATGGGGCTTCTTTTGCAGGGTCAGTAGTACACTGCCATTCACAATGCCCATCACATGTCCTGGACTACCTAATCCAGGCACAGGCAGCAGCTTGGAATTTGCACAGGTCCAGCTACCTGCCCACTGTATGACTTTATTTAACACTAACATCCTTGGGCAACATTCTCAACCTGGAAGCCTTACCATTGTGATGAAATGATCAGGTTTGTTTTCCTCTCTTAAAATAAAGGTCATGTTATATTTAAGATCATACATAGTCAATGAAGTACTGCTTTTGTAACTATATGAGCTTACTCTATCTCTGGAATAAAAATTCATCATTAGAAAGGCAGGCACAAGTGTGTGAAGGTTAAAATGGACTGGGGTAAAAATGACTGACTGACCTTTGCTTCCTCAATGGCTTTGGAAGGAATAAAGATCTGTGGGAAAGCATACATAGCTCCTTGAAGTGGATTGCAGTGCATTCCTGGTATCTTGTTAAACATGTCTTCTGTTAGTTTGGCTTTTTTGGCAAGACTGTTCAAAACAGACTCCTTCTCCTGTTTAAAAGGAAGGTGTTCAGTTGGATGTATTTGAAGTGGCAATAAAAACACCAGAAAAACCTATGATGCTTCAAGAAGCCCCCTCAAATTAAGCACTTTCAGGGCTTTGCAGAGCTATTAGAGCAAATGATGTTCCTAATTCCAGTCATACTCTTCAAGACATCAGTGCAAAAATGCATTAGCAGGATACAACTACAAAGCATTGTAGATAGCCAATAACCTGCAGAAGTCTCTATTTGCAAGCCCTCTTCTTACATTCTTCCTTCTGAGCATCCACTCTTGGCTATTTTTTGAAATCACATTAGTTTAACCTTTGATCTGACTCAATACTGTAATTTCTTAAGGCAGATTCAGTTTCATTTTTACAAGTGAGAAATTCTATGTATAATTTAATACAGAATGCCATGTTGTTCAGTTTATAGAGGCAGTGGATACCTAAGAACAAGGCTGATTTTACAAGTTTATTTGAACTTACATTCCTGTTTAGATTTTAGTAAAAGCAAATCTTAGTAATTCCTATGTCTTGCTAAACACAGGAGAGAAGTTCAGCAAGAAAGCTTATATGATAATGCCTTCTTAGTTTTGGGGTTTTTTTTTGGCTTCTAAACAAAGGAACTGCAAAAGCAATAAAAAGTACTCTGAAAGGTAGTCATATTGAGTTAATTTAAAATACCCTGCAGAGTTCTGTAAACTGATGTTATTACATGATTGTTGGAGAAGAAAGGAGTCTGGTCTCTGTGCATATTTTGAGTTCACAGTACTTAGGTTTAGGAAACGCACAAAAGAACAAGAATGTTATTGCTGACCTTTATGAACTGTGAATATGATTCTTCTCCAGGTATTGGAGGATTCACTACAACATCCATTGCTGCTTGTCCTGAGACTGGAGGACAAAGGCGAACAGAAAGCAACTTAACAAGCTGTCCTTTAATTTCTGGGTGCAAGTTAAGGACCTCCATATAACCTCCTCTGTAGCCACATCTGTGATTAAAGTGAACAGATCAGTTAACCTCAAGTGTTAAAGTACTGGAAAAGCAATGAAAGTGACTGCAGAAGTGGAAAGACATGAGGATCTTACAATATGTAACACACAGATTGTTGAAACAGCTGCTATACTGATGTTTTAAGATGGAATTAAATTATATGTCATTAAGCCCTGGTATCCCATCCACAGAAGAAGGTATACATGCAGCTTCCCCATTAGGCAAGTTAACGACTAACGTGGACTATTCACTCTTAAGAACAAGAGCACATGGCTGTAGCAGTATTCATTTAATCAGAAAATTATTTTTCTTTCATCTCTTCCTCCCCAGAACAACCAAACCCAAACATCTGTAATATTAAACATCCCAGTGATTCTTGAGCTGTTCCCTTGACTGCTGGAGACCATATTTTCCTTTATCACAGGTCCAGTTTAGGACTGTAGGATTTCACCTTTGTGGAACTGAGGCATTAGGTGTCTGAGATAAATATATTTTTTTATTTGGTACTTTGAAAACCACTGAGGTAATCCATTACTCTGTGCTTTAAATGCTTGTTTACCTTTTCTTAATTGTTTTCAGTTAAAATTATAAAAGACGGTGGATTACCTTCAAGTCACTAACATGAACAGCCATCCAACCAGATTAATGAGGAAGATGAAATATATAAAAAAAACCAAAAAAAAACAGACTTACTCGCCCATGTATCCCTTAGAGGTGGAGTGAAAAGAGGCCAGCTCAACATTGTTATAGTACTTGGGTCCCATCTCATACAGAATCTTTTTGAAAGAATGAAACTGGCATCCTTCAGAGTACACATTGTCCTGGTAAACCTGAACAGTCAGAAGACATTAATATGCTCTGTTCCCCCAACTAAAGATAAAAGATGACTTTTTAGAGAGCCAGGTCTGAAGAAACAGTGGTAACACTCAAAACTTAAAGCCATTAAAAGACACAAGGTTCTTTGTTAAATAATAGTTACTGTAATGATGCATTTTATCTAATACGGCCATACTTAATAATTTAACCTTTTGAATAACAGTGAGTGTCTTTGTATAACTTAACCTTTACTTGTATTTTTTAATTGATTTTTCTTCTGTTTCTTTCATTTGAAGTAGTCTGAGTATCACATATGTTTCTAGGTCAGTTCCAGCAAAGTTACTTCTCGTGTCTCCTTGCTCATCTTTCTAGTTCAAATCCAGATTAAGACACCTCTCATATTAATCCTCTGATATTAAGAATATTGCATGTTTGTTCATGGCTTAAAATGCTAACAGATAATCTGTTTCCTGCACTTAAAAACCACCAGTACCACACATGGAAAAAATTTACACCTTGTATGTGTACTCTTATCTGTGCTTTAGGGAGAAAAGAATATTCCATTACCTCATCAGCCAGAAGAAAAAGTTTCTCCTCCCAAGCAAAGTGTATCACATTTTCAGTGCACTTTCTGCTTTGCACCTGTCCTATGGTTTGATTTTTAAAGCAAGAAGAAAGTCAGTGGAGCATTTATATATATACAAATCTTTTCACCCAGACCTAGTTAGACTATTAGCTTTTCAGTAAGATATCCTTCTTTCTCAGAAAATTGCTACTGAATTTTATAATTCAATTTACTAAGTGTGAAATTAAAGAACATTTTTAGAGGAATTACGGTTCAAGGTAACAGTCCATCTGGCAAAGGAAGTGTGAGATACAGTAATTTAACTTATTAAGAGTACTCTGTGTATAACTGATCATTTGAAACACACATACGATGGTTAAGTGGGAGCTAGTTTCTCACTAATCAACCTCATCTATTCAAAAACCTAAATTATTCTGAGGGAAGCAGTGGCTGCCACTGAGTTCAGAGTGTTTAGTCGTTGACTTTCGGTGGCAAGAGGCTACAGGCCATGTCAGAGACAAAATCTTTTATAAAGACCAGAAGTGACCAAGTGATTCCACAAGTCTGCAGAAGTTCACTGGAAGCAGTGGCTTCAAATGGGATCCAGTGAAGTGAACTTGCTCCCTCCTGTCTTCCCAAATCCCTGGAGTTCCATAACACTGAAAATACGTTTCTAAAAGTAAGACATGGTGTCCTACTTAAAGCACTGATCTCTACAATTCAGCTTTACGTATTTCATAGGTATTTAGAATTTGCCTGTGATGTCAAAGGAGGAAGAAGGAAATAAAAAACAAAATGGTGATAAAACCCATCCATTAACCAGAATTGCTACAGACCTGTGGGATTTCCAGGGTTGATGATGCAGAGGACTTTTGGATTGCAGTATGCCTTAGCTTCCTTCAAGGAACGGCGAAGTTCATTCACATCTAGAGCCCAGCAATTTTCTTCATCCAAATAGTAGTTCACCTGGATAGCATCTAGGTCAGATATGGCTGCTGAATATAAGGGATACTGTGGTATAGGGATCATCACTCCTGTTCGGGATTTTCCACCTCCTGAGACCAGGATCTTTAAAATGGTCTGGGGAAAAGGTAGGAATAAAGAAGAAAAAAAGTCACACACCAGAATTAATAGTATACTCTAGAATAAGTTACTGATCTTACTTCTTCAAAAATCTAGAGTTAAGGTATCTAGAAGCATACAGTCATCTTCTCATACCAAAGGGCATTTATTTATTTAAAGTTAAGCTACTGACTGAGGGAGGATGGTCTAACTCAGCTTAATGGAATTCTTCTGAATGTTGTGGCTTCTAAAGACCATGTCTGATCAACTACAAAATTTAGGAAAAACATTCTGAGCATAAGCCAGAGGGAAAATTGGAAACAGGAATATCAAGATCATGATTTTTCTACTGTCCCCAGTTGTAAGCAACCAACAACAAAATCAGCTAGCTCTTGCTTGCTGCCTTCCACTCATCTACTAACCACATGAGGCCAGTAAATAACCCCAGAAATTAGAACTAGGGCCTGTGGAGGTTCTCCTTTGGAACAGAGACACAGAGATAAGGAGCAATTGTGTCCAGATGAGAATAAAGCTAGAGACTCACATTATGGTTTCATTTTCAAGTAACTGAAGAGACCAAAAGTCTGCATGTCTTGGGATGGAAACCTAATGTATCATATGTACTTTACATTCAGAAGATACAGCTAGAAATGCTTGTGCTAAGGTCACTACAGAGTATTTGCCTGTGACCAGCAACTGTATGTCTGTGTGTGTCTGTGTAGGTTCTTTACATGTGAATTAAATAGAGTTCATTTGGTGCAGGAATGGAGAGATTTCTTGCCTTTATAATCAAGGGAGAACTCTGAAGTACAGATTCAATCAAAACAGACATCCTTATCATTATGTAACTGATAGTGTAAAACCAAAAATATCTCTTCAGATATAACAGCAGTATACTTGAAGTTTCTTGCTGGTTCTAGGACAAAATCTGCCTTTCTGTGCCTTTTGTCATATACTAACTCAGCTGCTAACCTAATGATTTATAATCAACAGAATTTTGCACCCACCACTAGTTTAAAAATACCAAGTATCCAAAATATATAATCAGGACAAAGTGCAAATTTAAAAACCCTTTAACACTCTCTGTCCCCCAAATTGTTTTATCCTTGGAAGTGCCAAATAATGAGACTCATTGTACTGCTGACTTTTCATCACTAGTAAAATCAAACAAGCATGGTACAGACTTGATATGCTATGCTGCCATTCCTGACAAGCTGCCAGGTTAAGACTTGGCATCATAAACTCTGGAAAGCCAATTCACTAAAGACCTTTGGAGAACTGCTTGTATTAGAACACTGTCATTCTGAACTCTGCCACTAGATGTCATTTTCAATAAAACAACAAAACCCAAACTTTTACAAGCAAGCTATAAGGGAGCTGCCTTAATAAAAGCAAATAACTTCTGGTTGTTGTAATACCAGTGAATGTGTCTGTGTAAAGGAAAAATGTAAAAGAGACAGTTATCCCTGTCTTAACTGAGGACCAACTCTGAACCTTGCTTGAAGCCAAAACCTTATGGGTTTTTTTCCCCAAACAAGCTGGCTACTGAAGAGATTTTGGGGAATTTCACTGGCATTAATCTGCACTAGCAGAGAGTTTACTAGGAAGAAGAGCTGCTGGACTTCTCACTTCATTCTCTCCACTCCTCTCTTCATTCCCTCTTCTCTCTGCTACAGACTCATACCTTCTAATCTTCAGTGCTTATGTATCTTAACCAGTGAGGACACCGTTATTTAGTCTGAATGGTCTGAATCTCCTAAATTTATATTTAGGCCCCTATGTAGTTTATACTACCTTTTCAAAAGGTACAAGTTAATGTATATTAACAGACTTTGTTTCCATGTGCCTGCTTCTTAGCTGGCATCTTAAATCCACATAATTGGATGTATCGCAAATCCACTTAACGTGACTGCAGTACCTGTTAGATCAAACTCACAGGAGTTGTGAGACCAAATGTTCAACAGAGATTTGTATTTCCAAACAGAGATCTGTATTTCCAAAAAACTACACCAAGATTTAATTTTAACACTTACAGTAATACCATCACTTGCACCAGTGGTAAGATATATGTTATCTGGATCTGCAGGAACCCCTCCATCTCTTCTTTCAATATATGAAGCTACATCTTCACGGATACAATTTATACCTGGACTGGCAGTGTAAGATCCTGTGAAAAATGAGAAGAGAATTGATTACAATGAATAATCAGATTTTCTGTTTGCTAGCAAAACTCCTGAGCTAATATTTTATGAAGTTGTTCGTATGTATGAAGGCTTTGGACCCCCAGGATGGTTTCTGGGAGTTTGGGGTTGTTTTTTTAGTTTGGGGTTGTTTTTTAAGAGTAGGAAAAGGTGTTGGTTTGTTCACAAAACAAGAGTTCATTTGAAATTAGACAGATATAAGTATCACTAAAATATAAACATAATAAACTAGACTGGTAAAAAGTAGTATTTAAAGGCTACTCTGCAAACTGGGACAGCAATCCCATTTTTACTAACTCCAAGTTGTTTGCTTTATATTGAAAACCACTGCAGAATGTCAACCAACACCTATTTAACTAATGGGAACAAGGCAAAGAGGTAGCATGTGCAAGAGAAAGGGAAATAACTTCTTTAAATCCATGACAAAAATAAGATTTCTATTTGCAATATGAAGATAATACAATACCATTTTCTCCCACAGTCTGAAACCCTAAAAATCTTAAACTGCTTCTCTCTCCCCCCACAGCCTCTCCCACAACTGCTTTTCAGTTACTTGTAGCAGAAGCATTTAAGATCAGCCTAATCTATGGCCTCGTGCAGTTTACAGAGCACAACTAATAATCTTAAATAAAGTAAAATGTCAGATGCTTGTGTACATCATTGCTGAGCATGTGCAACAAATAAAGAGTAAAAATAAGACTAAGTCAAGGTGAAGAAAGGATTCAAATTATGAAGCTAAGACTGATGGACAACAAAGTGACAAGTTGTCCATCATATATGAAAAACCATGGCAGTCAAGTAAAGATACCGAGGACTGGAAAAGGAAAATATAACCCCCACTTTCAAGAAGGGGAAAATGGAAGATCCAGGGAACTACAGACCAGTCAGTCTCATCTCTGTGCCTGGCAAAATCTTGGAGCAGATTCTCCTGGAAAGAATGCTAAAGGACATGAAAAACAACAAGGTAGTTGCTGACAGACAATATGGTTTCACTAAGGGGAAATCATATCTGACCAATTTGGTGGCCTTTTACGATGGGGCTACGGAACTGATAGACAGGGGTAGAGCAGTTGATGTCATCTACCTGGACTTGTGCAAAGCGTTCGACACTGTCCCACACGACATCCTCATCTCTAAATTGGAGAGACATCAATTTGATAGATGGACCACTCAGTGGATAAAGAACTGGGTGGATGGCCACATGCAAAGAGTTGTGGAAGGTGGCTCAATGCCCAGCTGGAAAACAGTAACAAGTGGTGTCCCTTAGGGATCGGTGTTGGGACCTGTCTTGTACAACATCTTTGACGGCCACATGGACAGTGGGATTGAGTGCACCCTCAGCAAGTTTGCTGATGATACCAAGCTGTGTGGTTTGGTTGATATGCTGGAGGGAAGGAATGCCATCCACAGGGACCTTGATACGCTTGTGAGGTGGGCTGATGCCAGCTGTATGAAGTTCAACCAAGCTAAGAGCAAAGTCCTACACCGGGGTCAGGGCAATCGCAGGCACAGCTACAGGCTGGGCAGAGAAGAAATTCAGAGCAGCCCTGTGGAGAAGGACTTGGGGACGTTGGTTGATGAGAAAATGAACATGAGCCAACAGTGTGCACTCGCAGGCCAGAAAGCCAACCGTATCCTGGGTTGCATGAAAAGGAGCATGACCAGCAGGTTGAAGGAGGTGATCTTGCCCCTCTACTCTGCTCTTGTGAGACCTCACTTGGAGTACTGTGTACAGTTCCGGTGTCCTCAACATAAGAAGAACATGGAACTGTTGGAACAAGTCCAGAGGAGGATCAGGGGACTGAAGCACCTCCCATATGAAGATAGGCTGAGAAAGTTGGGGCTGTTCAGCCTGGAGAAGAGAAGGCTGAGTGAAGACCTCATAGCAGCCTTCCAGTATCTGAAGGGGGCCTATAGGGATGCTGGGGAGGGACTCTTCATTAGGGACTGTAGTGGTAGTACAAGGGGTAAGGGGTTCAAACTTAAACAGGGGAAGTTTAGACTGGATATAAGGAAGAAGCTCTTTACTGTGAGTGTGGGGAGGCACTGGAATGGGTTGCCCAAGGAGGTTGTGAATGCTCCATCCCTGGCAGTGTTCAAGGCCAGGTCGAACAAAGGTTGGACATACCTTGGGTTGTATGTTTTAGTGTGAGGTGTCCCTGCCCATGGCAGGGGGGTTGGAACTTGATGATCTTAAGGTCCTTTCCAACCCTAACTATTCTTTGATTCTATGATTCTTTAGAACACTCATGAAACTGTAGAATCTTCTGTGCTTGTTGGATGGAGTGAATTAACTCCTATCACTCAGTTATATGCTAGTAGTCTGCCTGATAATACGTCTGTTAAAGCATAATTTATCAAGACAAAGAACCATGGGACAAAATGGTAATTCAGAGCACAAAGTTCCCTGATGTCCTAAACATTTATTTTTACAGGACTAAAAGTTATACTGGGTCTGTACATGGGTCTCTGACCCATGACTTTGTTAAAGTAGAACAAACCTAAGCTGTCATTCTGTCTTGTGCTCCATTAAGCATTGACTCCCATGATTCAGTGAGGATATTCAGAAGACCTGAACTCAGTTTTCAGGTCTTCTACTCTTAATTGTACTCAACTGATAGCTTAGATCAGAACCCATCTGTTTGCAATGTAGGATGCAAACAAATAAACCCAACCCAGAAAACTGCATGTACACATATTAGACGTTTTTATATGTAGGACGGGGTAAATTTGTCAACTGCCTGGAAAGACATGACAGTTACCCCACATACAAAGTAACTATTGTCAAAGGAATCCCAGAGTATTTGATTTGAACACAACAGAAGTTGAGGACATACCTAAGCCTTCATATATAGTCTGGGAGTAGCAAGACTCAATATTATGAGTAGGGTTTTGACAAATGAAAGTTCACTGTAAGTGAGGTTATTTAGTTAATATCCAGAGGTCAAGACATTCATATTAACTTTGCAGTTAATACATTTAAAGAGGCCAGTATAGATGTGGGAACAACACTTCAAATGGCTTTACCATATCTAGTGAAGCCACTTTTCTGTTGGATGGACAGCTTTTGAAAATAAGCTTTTATTAGAACACATCACTTCAAGCTACATGAAGGGATCAGGTTTTAACCTTTGCTTTTTCCCATGAAAGCAAATTTCTCCTTCCCAGCCATGAAGAGAACAGCAGTAAGATGTCAGGCTAACAATTAAGTGATAGGAGTCACCTCCATTCAGCTGCACATCCACTTGCCTCAGATGACGTGCTTATGGAATGCTGTACAGAGGCTGATGAGCAACTGAGACCAAGAGAAGGGGCTGATACGTGATGCTAGAGACAGGGAGGGTGGAGAGAAGGCATAAACCAGTACAGCAGATCAGTAAGGTCTACAGTGGTTTTAGTTTTCAAAAATTTGCATGGCTAGTCACTACTTATCAGTAGGCCACACCATGAACTCTCCCCCTATCATTTTGCCCTAGGCTACTCCCATTTGACTTGTAATCATATAAAACATGATTAGGAAATTTCAGCACAGCAGATATTGAAACTACCTTTGCTGATTCTAGTACAAACAGGAACAACTAAAACTTAGACGCTTACCTAAGCTGTTTCCTCCGCAACCCTGCAAGATCCGTCTGGCTCGCTTTTTGGCATCTTCTGGAAAATTTGGGCTGTCCAACAGGTTTGGGTATGTACACAGTGCCACTACCTAAAGTGCCAAGAAAATGTAAATTGGCCACTTCTCAATGGTTATTTTAAGTTGAAAATATTACTCTTAACATTCTTTGGAAATTAAAATAACAAATACTAGGTAATTTAAAACAAAGGCTATTGAATTAAGGGGCAGGCTGGCAGGGGCGATACTGTTGTGGGGGTCTGTTACAGGCCACCGGATCAGGGTGAGGAAGTTGACGAGGCCTTCTACAGGCAGCTGAGAGCGGCCTCACAGTCACAGGCCGTGGTCGTCGTGGGGGATTTTAACTTCCCTGATGTTTGCTGGAAGGACTACTCGGCAACCCAGCCGCAGTCCAGGAGGTTCCTCCAGTGTATGGGTGATAACTTCCTCATGCAAATGGTGGATGAGCCAACCAGGAGAGGAGCGCTGCTGGATCTCATCCTCACTAACAAGGAGGGTCTGGTCGAAGGAGTGAAGGTTGAGGGCTGCCTTGGTTGCAGCGACCACGAGATGGTGGAATTCAGGATCTTGTGTGGTAGGGTCAGTAGAATAGCAAGTAGAATTGCAACCCTGGACTTTAGCAGGGCAAACTTTGGCCTCTTCAAGCAATTGCTAGGGGAAATTCCATGGACTAGGCTGCTTGAAGGTAAAGGGGCCCAAGATAGTTGGTTGACGTTCAAGGACTGCTTTTTCCGAGCTCAAGATCAGAGCATCCCGACACGTAGGAAGTCAAGGAAGAGGGTCAGGAGACCTGCGTGGCTAAATAGGGAATTGCTGGGTATGCTAAAGTGGAAGAGGAGAGTTTACAGGTCATGGAAGGAAGGGCTGGCCACTTGGGAGGAATATAAGGCTGCTGCTAGAGGATGTAGGAAAGCAGCTAGGATGACTAAGGCCTCCTTGAAATTAAAGCTGGCGAGAGGGGTCAAGGACAGCAGAAAGAGCTTTTTCAAATACATGGCAGATAAAACTAACACCAGAGGCAATGTAGGCCCGCTGATGAACGGGACGGGTGCCCTGGTGACACAAGATACAGAGATGGCAGAGTTACTGAATGCCTTCTTTGTCTCTGTCTACTCTGCTGGAGGCAGTCCTGAAGAGCCCTGTACCGCTGAGTGCTCAGATGAAGATAGGTCAATGGAGCGGTTTGCCTTAGTCGATGAGGAATGGGTTAGAGACCATTTGAGCAATCTGGACATCCATAAATCCATGGGTCCAGATGGGATGCACCCGTGGGTGCTGAGGGAACTGGCAGAGGTCATTGCTAGACCGCTCTCCATCATCTTTACCAAGTCTTGGGAAACGGGAGAGGTGCCTGAGGACTGGAGGAAAGCAAATGTCACTCCTGTCTTCAAAAAGGGCAAGAAGGAGGACCCGGGTAACTATAGACCGGTCAGCCTCACCTCCATTCCTGGGAAAGTGATGGAACACCTTATCCTTGGTGCCATCTTAAGGCATATCAAGGATAAGAGGGTTATGAGGGGCAGTCAACATGGCTTCACCAAGGGGAAGTCATGCTTGACCAATCTCGTAGCCTTTTATGAGGAAATAACACGGTGGATGGATGATGGCAGAGCGGTGGATGTGGTCTACCTTGACTTCAGCAAAGCATTTGACACAGTCTCCCACAGCATCCTCGCAGCTAAATTGAGGAAGTGTGGTCTGGATGATCGGGTAGTGAGGTGGACTGTGAACTGGCTGAAGGAGAGAAGCCAGAGGGTTGTAGTCTATGGGGTGGAGTCTAGTTGGAGGCCTGTATCTAGTGGAGTGCCTCAAGGGTCGGTACTGGGATCCGTATTATTTAATATATTCATCAATGATTTAGATGAGGGAATTTAGTGTACTATCAGCAGGTTTGCTGATGACACTAAGCTGGGAGGAGTGGCCGACACGCCAGAAGGCTGTGCTGCCATTCAGCGAGACCTGGAAAGGCTGGAGAGTTGGGTGGGGAATAACTTGATGAAATATAACAAGGGAAAGTGTAGAGTCCTGCATCTGGGCAGGAAAAACCCCAGGTTCCAGTATAGGCTGGGGAACGACCTGTTAGAGAGCAGTGTAGGGGAGAGGGACCTGGGGGTCCTGGTGGACGACAGGGTGACCATGAGCCGACACTGTGCCCTTGTGGCCAAGAAGGCCAATGGCATCCTGGGGTGTATTAGAAGGGGGGTGGTTAGTAGGTCGAGAGAGGTCCTCCTTCCCCTCTACTCTGCCCTGGTGAGACCTCATCTGGAATATTGTGTCCAGTTCTGGGCCCCTCAGTTTAAGAAGGACAGGGACCTGCTGGAGAGAGTCCAGCGCAGGGCAACTAAGATGATTAAGGGAGTGGAGCATCTCCCTTATGAGGAAAGACTGAGGGAGCTGGGTCTCTATAGTTTGGAGAAGAGGAGACTGAGGGGTGACCTTATTAGTGTATATAAATATATAAAGGGGGAGTGTCACGAGGATGGAGCCAGGCTCTTCTCAGTGGCAAACAATGATAGGACAAGGGGAAATGGGTACAAACTGGAACACAAGAGGTTCCACTTAAACTTGAGAAGAAACTTCTCAGTGAGGGTGACGGAACACTGGAACAGGCTGCCCAGGGAGGTTGTGGAATCTCCTTCTTTGGAGACATTCAAAACCCGCCTGGACACGTTCCTGTGTAACCTTATCTAGGTGTTCCTGCTCCGGCAGGGGGATTGGACTAGATGATCTTTTGAGGTCCCTTCCAATCTCTAACATACTGCAATACTGTGATACTGTTATGAAGAGTTTGCAGTTGTTTTGTTAAGGGTAGTGCTTACAGAAGTAAAGAAATCTTATTGGGTTCCAAGTTCTGCTCATAAAAACAGTTACAGAATTATTAACTATGAGTATTACAAACAGTGAAGACTGGAGTCCAGGTGATCTATGCATAGTACAAACACACTAAAACACAGTTAATTATTCATGCTATCTTTAAACAGCTCTATCCTCACTCTTTGTGTATTACTATCGCACTTTATTGACAAGAAACCAAGAGGTTAAAATGGAGCAGAACTGAGAAATATGATCAAATTTTGAAGCCCCAGTTATATGTTCTAATAATCCTTCCCAGAAATAACTTATAGCTATTACTAATTTGAATTTGTATGAAATAATTAATTAAAAAAAAAGTGGTGATATAGAACATAGCAAAAGTAGAAACATGACCTAGCAGAATTAAGTTTATGAAGGAATGTAAGACACAAATAATCTAGATGGCAGGGGGGTTGGAACTAGATGATCTTAAGGTCCTTTCCAACCCTAACTATTCTATGATTAATATGAGATCAGATTAATTTGTTCCAGTGTCTCATTTTTATGCTTACATGGTGTAATATGGATAGGCTGTTGTCATCTTCTGGGACAGTGACTGAAGAATTAATCCATGTGTGCACATAGTCATGGGGAGGAAGAATTTCCCATTTACCCAGTATATTATTTAATAACATTGGTTCTGAATAATTTGTAAGAAGCTCTGGTCTTCCTAGTTTGCTAACAGTTTGCTGTATAGCTCAATTTTATAATCTCATCACCTGGACCCCCAGTTTGATAGGGCTTCAGTTTGTCTTGGAACTCTGAATTTACATTATTATAGACTGTGGATATTACATGTGTGTGTAAGGGATGCTCAGTAAATAGTGTAATACTAGTTTTAAAATTTGCTTGTGTTTTAGGAATAATACACAAAAGTGAATTCCGTTGTAGTCTTTCCTAAAAGTTAACCAAACAGATGCAAAATGTGCAAGATCAGCAACATTACAACTAGTTGCACCCAACTGTATGAAGATCTTAAACCGTCAGATGAAGAAAGGCATTTGCTTTTTTCTTTGAAGACAACCACTTCCTTTTTTGAAGTGCATTATTGATAATGAATGTGCCGACTGATAATATAGGAGAATTGTCAGGAGAATGTATGGGTGGGGAATATATGAAACATAAGGAAAGCTACCGTGTTGAAAGAGGACACTCAGCAAGCAAGGTATAGGACTTCAGCTCAGAAATCAAAATCTGTAATTCTTTACAAAAGAACTATGTTAAGTCTAAGTGCATCTAGGGAAGCATTTATGCTACTACACACACCAGACAGATTTTAAGGCATTCTTGATAATCTAATAAAAAATTAAGAATAATATTTTATAATATTCTTACCTGACGGAGGAAGGTGATTGGCCTCTGTCCCATTGCATGCGCATCTCCAATGTTGGCTTTAATTACTTCAGTAAAAGGTTTTTTGATTCCCTAAAAAGAGATTATTCACAATGCATTGTTAGGGATGAAGTAGATGATAAGGAATTCCTCTTTTTTGGTATCTGTCATATGGCTGTACCTAAAGAATGCCTAATCTCAGAACAAAGAGTATTTAATGTAAAGCTTAAAACATTTCTTATATAATACTGCCAGTAAATCTTAAATGCTTTACATAAAAGATGCTGACCTTTAGTACTTTCTAGAGTAAAAACAGTAAAGATACTGCTTGCTTATTTATTTTCTCTTTAGATTAAATATTCATTGTGTGATTACCCCATTTTTCCATACATATGTTTTACAAAATATATCATAGTAAGGCCCTATATGAAAAACAGCAGAAGTGCTAAATAATAGCCATGAATACTTAAAAGCTTCCTAATCTTGGAAATCTGAACAGAGAGCTGTTTTTCCTATGAGGGACTGGATACATCATGAGAACAGAGAGAAAACAGTTGATGAATGCTGATTAGCAATCACAGCTCTTTAAAAAGTGAAATAAAGGGGAAAAAAGACAAGGAACTGATTGGTAGAAAAAAAAAAAAACGCCATTGATTTAAATAAAAAAGATTAACTTAAAGGAAAGGCCAACATTACAAGAATAAATAAGGTAGGCAAACCCAAATTTATAGCTTTTAAAATTTTCTAATGTATATTTAAGTATGAGAGACAGTAGAGAGACTTTCTAACAGCAACAGAAATTTAATGTGGACTAATGAAATGCAAAATTAGACCGATTCATTTTCTATACACAATTACCTATAACATACTGCTCTGGCTGCGGACTGAATTCACAAAGCCTCTTCCTGTCCCGTATATTTACAGCAAGTTATTGGATTTGGATATAGAACATGTGGCTGACAAGCCTTAACTAATTTTTGCTTTGTGTTAAGACTTCAAAGACAGACCAGAAACCAGATGTGCAAAGGTGACAATCACCAAAATATTAGTAGTCACCAAGATGCAAATTCCCAGATATACCAAGATTTGGACATGTACAGCTGTGTAATGTGGCTGAGAGGTTATGTGATAATGTGATTCAAATCCTCAATACAGATCCAGTCCATCATTTAACTGATAGCATTTAGGTTTTTCTTTTGCAATAGAAATAGGTAGTTAGAAACGGCATTAAGACAAGAGAGTTGGACTTTCATGATCCTGACTCAAATGTGTTATTTTTATAGGGACTTAAATTTAGCAGGATTTAAAAAAGAGCCCAAAAAACAACCAAACCTTCACTTAAAATAACTGAAAGTGACACACAAACTCTATCATATAATTTGCTTTTATGTTTTCTGATCTAAGTGAGTGCTTAAGTAAGAGTTGCATTTCAACCTTAAATAAGGAAATAAGAATAGGGATGCCAGATAAAAATTACAGGTATCTGAGGCTGAAGTTTAGCAATTTGCGAGTAAAGCAAGCATCTAGAAATAGGTTCTTTTCAAACTATCTGGGGTCCACTGATAGCTCAACATTATTTCATTCTAATTTGAAAATAAGCGGGAAAAGAAGCAAAGAAGCTACATGTAGAAGAACGAATTCAGTGTGCCTGAAAGTAAGAAAAGGTCCCACAGATTGTGTTTACATTTGGTCCTTCTTACAGCAAATAGAATCAGTCTCACTAGATTCGCACAGCAAATCAAATTTGGTAAAGAATAAGGGATACATTCTTTGCCTTACATTAGGGAGTCTAAAAAAACACAGCAGTTCTCAGTAATAAATGAAATGAAAATACCTTGTTTTACCAGATTAAAACCAGAACAAACCTCTAATAACATAAATACATTATGTTAGACAAATTAGATGGGTTTTGCACAGATATACTATTGTGATCTGCAATAAAAAATAGCTGCTTCATTGGTTATTGAAATGCTGAAAGGCACTCTGCATTTCATAATGCACCTGTGGAATTTTTATAGTGGTACAGCCTTTACAACAAGGTAACAGACCTTTTTGGTGTCCATGTCAAGTTTATTGCGAATTATTTCATAGCTTATTAGCATGGATACCAGATCTCTGCTAGTGCCCAACTTGGTGTTTATGCCATCACTGCCTTTGGGCGCCAACTGCAGCACTTATTCCATAAACCCCATACTACCTTTGCTACTAAAATGATTGATCTGAAGAAAACAGAAAAACATACATAACAGTTATCTTACTGTAAAGTCTTAGTAGAGAAAGAACAATGAGGTTTTCTGTGCTGTAAACACTGCTCCTACATACCTGCTTAAAGGGATGTGGTCCTCTTAACTAACTTGTATTTCTTGGTCTCAGCTACAAGAGATGTTGCCTTTTTTGTCTTTCAAAAGAGAGATATGTTTTTAAATAACTGGGGCCTTCACCTTCCCTAACATGCATTATTAATATCAGCAATTGTTTAGAACTGTCTTCACAAGATTCACTATATCCCCTCTTAGTGAAACCTAGGAAAAAATGGTTCTGACTACTTGGTTTTTTTCTCATCTTCTTCTATTGATTCCCAGTGTTTCTATGGAAAAGAATATCATAAGTTGTATAGATTTATGTTTGATTCCTCCATAACAAAAAAATCCCATCTTAGCATTTCAGAAAGAAAGAACAGGAAAAAATAAAAGGCAGGAACAAGTGTCAAATGTTAATAAGTCAAAGTTTCAAAGCAAATCAGAAGCTACATCAAGGGAAGTTTAGACAGTGCCTATGACTCTGCAGATGAGTTCAAGGTGGGATTCACTCAAATCCTTAAGACAGAGTAGCATTAGTCACTGGTTACTTGTGTCACAGGCACTAGTGTGCATGAGTATCCAAGGGAAGATTAACATCAAATACATTTTGGAAAGTCTGTGAAAAGATCTGTATGAAAGAAGGAAGTGTGAATGTGATGTTGATAACTTCAACATCAGGTTGTAGAACAGTCAGAAACATGCTGCAACAGGACATAGTTTGTTAGGGCAAGATTTATTTCACTGCAGAAGTCTAAGCAGTCTTTGACTATGTCAGCAACATGCTTGTGCTAAGACAATTTATGCCCCTGACAAGCCAAGGAACATATGGGGGGGGGGGGGGGGTTGGGGGGGGGTGTGTGTGCAGAAACTAGGCCATTAAATTGTTTTGCTTTCTTCAAGTGATAGAGAGCTGCCCCCATATTCTTCCCCGTTCATGCGCTCTCATATTTTCTGTCTCTTACATCCGCTCTCTCTCTCTGAGTACAATCAGGCTTTCAAGGTGTGTTGTTGAGGCAGTCTGACTGGATTGTAACTACTCTCTGCCAGCAGGCAGAGATTTGGAAAAGTGAAGCTTTCAGAACAAGAGCTCTAATAACAAACCTGGGAGCATTAAGTACCAGATTGATACTCATGTCTACTGAAGAGGGTATGAATCACATGAAGGAAGAAAAACAATCCCCAGCCCTTCAAAACAACCACTGCTACAACTTTCTGCCTTTTGTGACACCTCACACTGTCCTAACAACCTGATTCAGCCTCATCTTGGGAACAAAACCAATCTGCTGCCATTCTTTTGAAATTGTTAGCAAAGGAACTAATTGTAGTAGCCATTTTAACAGCTGAAGAAGCCTTCTTGCACTTCTAAATTCAATTGTAAAGTAGAAAATACAAAAATGCCTTTTTTTTTTTTCCAATTGCCATCTTCTTGATAATGAAAGTAAGAAAAGGTTTATATTAACTGAATAAAGGACTCTTCCCAGATTTGGAATAAGTTCTTTGGAGATCAGTTCCTTCAGCAGTGAGTTCTGTCACTCTCTTCAGAGGAAATGCAGCCTTTTAAGAGACCAGATGAAAAGCCTCTGAAACCTGAAACAGGTCAGACAGGATTATTGTGACTGTGTCAGTGTTCTGACTATCACAGAAAGCTGGGAGAAGGGAATTTCACATGTGAACCAGAATTCATTGGTGCAAAGTCCACACAAATCTTTATGTAAATAACCGGGTTTGGGGAAACTTCCCCTAGACACCCCCACAGCCTCAAGAAACCCAGCAGGTCTGGAGTACAGTATGAAATGATGTCACCAAGCAAGAACTGTTGGGAGAATTATCCAAAAAAAAAACCAAAAAACCCAAACTAAAAAACCACAACTATATGATGCCAGAACATACACTTTCCCAAATAACTACCATGAAGGCAGTGCATTGCCAAGAGCTGGTTTGTCTCTTTGGAGTTTTAGTATATCTGGAGGTTCCCTTTATGATGGTACCATTTAAGAATGCTGACAAATTGCAAACTAACACTGTGCCCAGAAAGTGTAAAGGGTGCAAACTAACCTAAAGCTGTCTTTGCTGAAGTTTTCAGTGAATTTCAAAGGAAAATCCTCAGTCAGTAGAAAGGCTTGTGTGATTTGGTAACAGGAAAGAATTGAAAAGGGTTCCCCTGAAGAGGCCATAAAAGTGTGAGGCTCTTTCAATCCCAGAAAAGCAACATGGCATTTCAGCTATTTCTAAATTTCTGAATTTGTCTACTCTTGGCTGCTTCATTTTCATTGCCATTGTTTTCTGCCTCCCTGTGATGATTATCAGGCAGTAACATCACACTATGAAACACTGTGCTATTTCCTTAGCACAAGCTGAGTCTATTATGCTGTGACTTGCACAAACAAGCTGTATAAGAGAGCTGGCAAAACCAAACATAGTTGAGATCTACACTGCAGTAGGCAACTTGCTTGCCTCCCCCACCTTCTCAAAGGGCCAAGAAAGCGCTACCCAGAGGATCTTAACTAATAGGGACTTGAAGGCCTAAATTAGCATTCCAATCTTTTTATTAAAACAGCTCACAACAGAAAAATAAACCTGACCTGCTTCTCACAAAGTAAGGCTTTGAGTTTGTGCTACACATGTGTAATTCAGGAATGGGGAACAAGTGGGGTTCTGGATTTTGACTTGAAATGGCAGTGATGACTTGCATGCCCCCTAATATCAAATAAGAAAAATTGGTAGGGCTAACCATTAATTGGCACATCTGATTCAGGGATTTTGGAACAGGGCTTGTCCTCAAGTTCCTTTTGC